ACATGTGTAAATACCAAATAGTTTCTCTAGTGTGAGAAACTCAAAGTGTAAATAAGGATTAAAATTATTAAAATGAATAATTGATAATTTGAAATAGGAAAAGGTCCAAAGGTGTAGGGGTGGTGGGAGGGGAAGGGGAAAGGGAAGAAGGGAAAAGAAAAATTATGAGAAAAGGAAGAATATAGAAATGAAATCTATGTAAATAGTGAAGGGTGAGGGGGTGAAGGGCACACAGGTAATGGGGAAAAAAAATAAGAACTAAGATACATCATGTACAGGTACAAGCACCCAATGATAAATGTAAATGTGTTGTTTACCTAATATGTACCAATAAAAGAATTTAAAAAAAAAAAAGAAAGTTCAGTATTCTTTCTTGATTTAAAAATGGTAACAGTTTTGGTATAAAAGTGCAATCCTCATCATCATAGAGGCCATGTACGAAAAACCCACAGCTAACATAATCAACAGGGAACAGAGGAAAATTTTTCCACTAAGGTCTAATATAAGCCAAGGATGCCCATTCTTGCCACTTCCATTCATAATAGTACTGAAAATACTAGCATGACCAATCAGATTAGTAAAAGAAATAAGGTCACTCAAATCAGAAAGAAAAAGTAAACTTATCCATATTTGCAGATGACAAAATGCTATATGTGGAAAACCTTGAAGATCACACACACACACACCTAATAAATGAATTTGGTAAATTTGCAAGATACAAAATCAGCATAAAAAATCAGTAGCAATCCTATACACAAGTAATAACTTATCAGATTAAAAAAGCTTAAATACCATTTACAATGCCATCAAAAAAATAGGAATCAATTTAACCAAGGAAGTGAAAGATTTATATACTGAAAACTATAAAATATCGATGAAATCAATTGAAGAAGATAAGTTAAAAGACTACCTTTGTCATGGGTCAGAAATAATGTTAAAATGTCAATATCCCAAAAAAATACAGATCTAACACAAACATAAAGTTGTCCTCATTCCCATCTTCAGAGCTGTATTATTTATAATAGATAAGATATGGATTCAACATTAGTGTCCATCAACAGACAAATGAGTAAAGAAAAGGTTGAAGAGCACTTGAGTTGGAGAAACCTGAATAAAATGGAACCATTTCCACTTAGATTTCTAGTATGGCTAGCCACATAGGTACTAGCATCATTTGTGCTCAGAAAAGGTGAGACTTCCCCAGTCTATTCTGAAACAAGTGAGCTACCCTCCCCAAGGCCAGGAGGGAAAGAGAAATTACCATGACATTTTCCTATCATTTCTTTCCTGTCTTTCTGCCCATATCCTTTCCCTCCATCTCTTCTTTCTATAAAGTGACATGGAAAGCCATAGCTCCCAAACTGTAAGGGAGGGATATAGCTAACCACATAGCTTCACCTCTGTTGTTCCCCTACAGTAGATTCCTCTAAGCATTGAAAAAGCTATGCCTATGGTATTAGAGAAAAACAAAATTTCAGAATTTCTATAATTGATCACATACTAGACATTTCCCTTGACTCTGAGCCATCACACAGTTAGTAGAAATTTGGCATATACATGGAAGCTCTGTTGATCTAATTGGTAACAAATTATTATTGATCCTTTAAAAAGAGACCAAGAGAGGGCTGGGGATTTAGCTCAATGCTGTCACCACCTGCCTCACAAGTGCAAAGTCCCGAGTTCGATCCCTGGTACCAAAAAGAGAGAGAGAGAGAGAGAGAAGAGAGAGAACCACGTTAACATTTCTCAACTTAGGTTAATCTCATGGATATTTGAATTATACATAATAAAATTTGTATTTAACATATGCTTGAGATTACTCCTATGTTTTCAACCTCATTTGTAATATAGTGATAGTTTCTTTAAAAAACTATATTATCAGATTCTTTTCTCTTTTTTTTTTTTGGCAGTATGTAGAAAGTGGTTTTGTTTTTTGGGGGTTTTTTTTATTAAATTCTTTTATTGGTACATTGTAGGTATACAACACAATTACATTTCTCATTGGGAATTGTACCTTTACATAAT